TGGCTATGGAGCTCACAGGAGAGCTAGGAGGGGCCCTTACGGGAGAGCTGGGAGGGGCTCTTAAGGTTTCCCCGCTGTGTGGAGAGAGATGGCTAGGGGATTACACACCTGTCGCGCTGGTTTCAATGAAGTTATCTCCTCCGCCAGTGACGTCAGTTCTCTGCCAAGGTGGTATCCCGTGCAAATGGTGACCGTTCGTTCCCTTTGCCGGGTGACCAATGCAACGGGTGAGTCCTGACTGACTTTCCCACGCCCCGTTTCAGTCCTGTGGCCAATGCCTATGAAGGCTCGGTTGGCTTTTACCTCTGTATGTTCAGACGGGCCGACCAGTTATTTCAGCGGGATCGTTAGAGCTGAGTCACGAGAAGCAGCCGATCCGGGCTCCGTGTGTGTGTTCTGAGGGGCCCAAACTGTTCGCCCCAGATCCACGTCAGCTCAGCATTGCCTAGTGATCCTTATCTCTCTTTCTTACTCCCCCACATCCTTTTCCGAGGACAATTTCAGTCACTCCTGCTAAAGTAGATTCCGCTGGGAAGGAATCTCGTTGGCCGAACTCTGGTGACTTCCCCTCTCTGCTATGGGGGGCCCCTGGCTCCTTGCCAGAGTATCCGAAGGGAGGGGTGGGACTGGCTTGTCTCTGGTCTGACTCAATCTCTGGTTTTAGCTCCCAGTTCGCTATTTCATAAAGGCTTGGTTAGAGTCCCTTCACGTCTCCTCCAGAGCCGGGCGGGCGGGGCCCCGTTCGCGGGGGGGGGGGGGGGGGGGGGGGTCCCCCCGGGGGGGGGGGGGGGGGGGCGTTTGCAGCCCCCGAGGGGGGGGGGGCGTTTGCAGCGCCAAACCGCCGGGGGCGGTTTACAGAGCCGGGCCGGCAGGGGCCCGGGCAGGCAGTGGCTGTTTGAACGTTCGCCGCAGGGCTGTTTGAACGTTCGGCGGCGGCCAGCGGGACTGGGCCCCTGCGCCTTGTGGCCGAGACAAACTGACACTTCCAATAAACTTACTAATTCCTGGCAGGTCTCCTTTCAGCAGAATTTTGCTAGAAGTTTCTCAGCAGGAAGCATGTAGGTGTATTAATGGGTCTCTCTGATCCCGTTACTGTGGAGGTATTGAAAGTGCTGCCTCCTCGCCGGCCGCCATGTTGGGTCTCTCAGTAACCCAGATCTTCAGCTTAATTTCTGTCATGCAATACTGGTAGCTGGTTATGTATTTATAAATCTGCAGTGTTCAACACCGTGGGGTTTTTTACACATTTTGTTCCAAATTAATACAACTAAGGTCCATTTGTAAAAGCTTCAAAGATACAAATAAAAGAGAAATTTCTTCCTAAAGTTATACACCAAATGCTTCATTTGGCATGTTGAATGAAGCCAGGTTCAGACCTCCTATAAGCCCCATTAGTATATTTCAACCCATAGACTTCACTGAATTTAAATCTCATTCTTAGGTTTTATCTCAGTGTAGTCAAAAGAGCAGATAAATTGAAGTTTTAGAAAAATTAAATTTTAAGTGACACTTCTATCACTTAATTGTTGTATAGTCTTGGACAGATCCCTAATGAATCTTAATTTTTTCAATTATAAAATGGGATAAGGGTAATACTTACAAGGTTTTTATATTCATTACGTGTGACTCTGATGCCAAAGTTTTTTGAGTATTTACTGTGTACCAAACATTATCAGTTGATTTAACTAAAATCAATTAGTCTTGTTTTAAAAAATAACCCAAAGGTCCCTTTATACACTTATCAACTAGTTATTTTAATTTCATATATATAATTTTTATAATTTATATTTTCACAGACAAAACCTTGACACCTCTTACCCAAGTTGTTAAAACCTTTTTTAACTAAAGATAATTTCAACTGCCTGATATTTTAAAGGTAAAAATTAGACTTCTAGTTATTATTTTTATATTCTTTGTAGTGTGATAATTTTAAAGATAGATTGTACAATCTCAAATTATAACATAAAAGTTAAAATTACTTGAAATCAGGTAATATAGTATACATAATTAAAAATGTACTGCCTTACAGCAGGTTTGAAAAACTTAGATTAACCTAAACTTTGTTAAATATTTGGAAACATTAAAAATCAGCTAGTGTCATATTTGTAAACAAGTTTCCCTCTTGCCAATTTCTTTTGCTAGACTAATTAACACACACACACACACAAATGTTTTAAAATTAAATAATTTTAATAAGAAAGCCAAAATATTAGATGAAAATAGAAGATATTTATTTTCTAAAAAAAATATTATTGTAAGTATAAATGCAAGAATAGGTGGTGATTAAGAGTACTTAGTATTTTCATACCAAATCATGTAAATGATTTTAGTTTTAAATGATTAAATACTATGTATCTAAAAATTAAAAATTAATATTCCCAATTAATATACCTAAATGTATTGACTTTTCCCTTTTTTGTTAAAGAATTCTCAGTTTATTTAATACTTTGAAATCAGATTTTCTGAAGAAAAGGTCCCCAAAATTCTTTTTTTTAATTTGTTCTTTTTAAATTTACATGACAATAGAGTGTATTTTGACATAGTATACATACGTGGAGTATAACTTATCTTTTATTTTATCAAAGTATTTATTTTCCTTAAACTCTAATTAGTTGCAGAAATTTATTATTTATAAGTTCAAAGAATTGTTGACAATTTGATTGTTTTGTGTCAATGCTAAATAAGGAAAGCAATTAAGATGTATTATCTTTATGTCTTCATTTTTGTTCTCACGTGAAAGAACCTCCCTATTTTCCACAGTAAATGAAACAACTAGCAGAGTGAAGATATAGTCTTATGGATGGGAGAAAATATGTCTGATAAGAGGTTAAAACCCAAAATATATTAAGAACTCAAACAACTCAATAAATGAGCAAATGAATAAAATAGACATTTCTCAAAAGAAGACATACAAATGGACAGTAAGTTCATGAAAAAATGATGCACATCATTAATCATGAAGAAAATGCAAATTAAAATCACAATGAGATATCACTTTACCCCTGTTAAAATGGCTATTTTCAAAAAGATAGAAGATAGATATTGGCTAGAATATGAAGAAAAGGGAATTCTTGTAAGCCATTGGAGGGAAGATAAATTAATATATCTGCTACAGAAACCAGTATGAGGTTCCTCAAAATTTAAGAATAGAACTATGTATCTAACAATCCCACTTCTGGGTTTCTATCTAAAGGAAATTAAATTAGTAGGTTGAGGGGGATACATGTACTCCCATGTTCACTGCTGCATTATTCACAATAGCCACGATATGAAATCAACCTAAGTGTTCATCAACAGATGAACGAAGAAAATGTGGTATGTATATACATACAAAACACATAATGGAATACTATCTAACCTTTGAAAAGAAGGAAATTCTATTATTTGCGACAAACTGAATGAAACTGGAGGACCTTATACTAAGTGAAATAAGCCAAGCACAGAAAGACAAATATTATAGGATCTCATATTATCATCATTATCATTGGACAGATGTATTATTGGTGGATCAGGAGACATTGGGTTTATGCGCCTCCTTTAACCCACAGTGACATTCATCAAGTGGTTGGCTGCAATTCATTTCACAATCTGGGACTTTGGGCAGATTTTACCCTCTGTGCAAAGTTAATTGACCCAGATTGCAATTGAATATAGCGGATTCAAGCAGTAGCATTTGTGTTCTAAAACTTGAACTAGCCAAAACAAATGTGTGTTAAGATATGAACTAGTCAAAAAATTGCCCTTGCAGAATATTATTTATAAAAATATTTCCTCACTCATGAAAGTCAAAAAATATGTTCATGTATTCTACTGTATTTTCACTGAAAATGGAGAAATAACTGTAATATCAAATCCCTCATTATCTGAAGCCATATTTGTTTTACACAGAAGAGAATTCTGTTCATTTGGTTTTCTTTTTTGTTTCTTAAGATACCTTTAAGTTAGCTGTGGCTGATCAATAACTTATTTACAGAGATGTACATATATTTCTGTTGAGCCACCTACCACTGATTTTTCACACTAAGCAGTCTGGAATATATCCTAACTTTTAATATTCTTTACTGTTGAATGCATACTTCAAATTATATTTCATTCTTTCTTTAGGGCATTTTTTTCTGCTTATGTGATTGATATATATAGGATTTCAGTAAAGCAAACAATTTTGTGTTTTTAAGGTCATGTACAGTTTTTATAGTACTATACATACCAGAGTCTATGAATAGCTATGTTCCAAGCACATTCTCATTGTCATGACATTTGATGTTTAGCCAGAACACATAGGTTGTCCATTAGACAGAACCTTATCTTCAGTTAGTGTGAAGCAGATTTTGTTCATTTGTACTAAATTTTCTTTGAGATATTTTATAGTATTTGTAAAATATTTTTAAATGGTAATATTAATGCAATTTTCATGGGGGAAGTAATTTATGTTCTTAAATTTACACAATTTTGTCTTCTTTTAACAAAGAAAGTGGATAAACAATAAATTTAGAAGAAATTATACTCATCTTAATGTGATTTTAAAATATCAAGTTTTTAAATTACTATTATTTCAGCAGTTTATTCTAAGAAAATTAAAACTTTGATGGAAGATGAGCTCAGGTGATCAGAACATTGATTCAGGTGTACTTGGCATAGCAGTTCATTATCTATGTGTTAATTATGTATGATTACTCCTGAAAAGCTATAGTGGCTTCATCTTTTAGGTTGCTTCGTTAAATCATTAATTTTCTTGGAGGTAACTAAGCCTGACATAATTAAGTCATCTCAGTCTCCACAGATTTTTATCTTCCCATGATGTCAAAAACACTGAGCAACTTAATATTATGTATTGATTTATATTTTAGGATTATTTAATACTAATTTGACACATTTTATTTATTTTTAAGTTATCTAATGAATATAAATATTTTAATTATTTACTGAATGTTTTAGTGTTGATTTTTTTTAGTTCCTATTAAAAAGCCCATTTATGTATTTGACCTGCTTCTTACCAACAGTTCTTTGATTCATGGCTACACAAAGCTGCTTCAGTTCATCCAGAACACCATTTATGAGGAAGGATTTGATGGATCCAATCCCCAGGTATTGAATACTTTCAAAACCTTTTATATTCATGTATCTAATGTTGTTTTCAAAATCTTCAGGTTTTCACCTAGAAGGTCTTAGAAAAGAAACAACAGCAAACAATCTGTTTTCAAGCACAAAGAATGTAAATAAGCAGAGACAGACAGCCTTAGTTTGTCTGTTAATGTGTATTTAGAGTTTTAGCTAAATTCTCAGTGGATGCAAATAAGATATACACACACATTGTCAACACTAATTATTTTCAAATATCTGTTTATAGCTTCTGGGGTTAATAATTAGCTACATTTGAAAATTACTTTAAAATCTACAGGATCTGTACTTTTCTATCTAAATTTTTCATGTTTCTGTCATTCAGGCCTTAATTTTGAATTACCCTATATGTAAGAATTATCTTAAGATTTTATTTCTTCTTATATTGCACTTTGAGTTGTCTCATTGAATAAAAGATACATTTTTACTGCTGGATTAAAATATTTTATAGCTTAACTATTCTTTGTAGCACTAATTTTAAAAATATTCTCCAAATTTCCACTAATAAAGATGTTCTGGTTAGTTAAACAGAATGAGGAAATTTTTATTTCAAGATATCATGCCTTTCAAAATTTCTTCTCAGTGATTTTAATTGCATATGCAACTAAAAGATTTGTATTACATTTACATTATTTTAGCAAAAGTATTTCCAAAGCACCATTGTTTTTATTGAAGAAAACAGAAAAGCTAAAAATCTTATTTTGGCATGCTCAGCTACATTGGCTACTAATTTATAGATTTTACAATGTCTTGTAAAACTTTATGGCTGTATTTAACAATTTATCTATGGCCAAAAATAATAATATTTTTAAATTTTGTTTTGATTGCTGATATAATAGTAGGCTAAAAACAGTTATGTATATTTGGGGAAGTACAGATATTTATTTGTAGGTGCTTTCTCACATGTCAGTTTTTGTGATATCTTTAGTATTTAATACAATTTTATTTTGATCCTTGTTGCTCCATTTTTGGTTCTTGCTAAGATTTATGAGTACCATGTCTTCCCTTTGGTGCCAGTGCTCGTCTGGAGAGGTAAATTGGTCCCTGACAGACACCTCTCCCCACTTGCTGTGGTAACTATGGAAACAGGCATGTCATAACAGTTCCTATGGTACAGTGTGCAGAGCTGCTGCTCTTACAGGATGATGATACATCAGAGAGCAAGAAATTTTCTGGAATATATAAAAGTAAAATCAATAAATTGCAAAAGGAATTATGTACATGCATACATACATATAGAGATACTTCCTAAGACTCCTTAACGAACAAGCTCGTCTTGGAATGGAATGAAATTTTTGTTTTCTTAATTATATATTTGGGTATTAAAAAATGCCATTTTCAAGAAACAATAAATTTTTTATGAAATTAATAAACAATAAACTGGAACTCGTGTGGTTCTCTGAACCATAGTTCTATTAACTTTCATAAAGATTGAACAGGTTTTTTTTTTAAGTATACATTTTTTAGTTGTAGGTGGACACAATATCTTTATTTTATTTTCATGTGGTGCTGAGGATTGAACCAGTGCCTCACCCATGCTAAGCAAGCACTCTACATCTGAGCCACAACCCCAGCCCGAGATTGAATAGGTTTAAGTTGGACATTTCTGTGATGAATACCAATAATGCTTAAAATTTTAAATTAACATATACCAATATTTGTTATCAAAATTCACTTACAATTTTATTAGAACTAAAATGTAGTTAATAAATTTCCATATTATTATAGATTACACTGTTTTTTGAGTTACCTAGTTTATTCATCTGTTTCACAAACTTTAGATGAATTCAAAAGACATTATTTATCTATCAAGCAATACTTCAAAAAAAATATTATTTCTGAGCCAAAATCATGTTCTGACTTTTTTAGAAGGAAATTTAAGTCTTATTTTCTCTATCAGTACATTTTCAAATAAACTGAGATAGTTGGAGACAACAGAGAGAAATACACTCTAGAGATGGAATTATTATAAGCTACCTCACAATTAACCTTGGTAAGATAAGTAGTACAGCAAATTGCTAAAGATGTTTGGAGTGAAAACACAAATTGCTGTTATAATTTTATTTAAGTTGTGATTTTTCAAGTATCTAAGAAATATAATGAAAATGAAATTTGAACATTGATTTTTCTTATAATATTACATTAAATATGTTAGATATTTCCTTACGAATAAATTTAGTGATCAGCAAAAGTTTCTTGATATTAAATCTAACCATACCACACAGTTACCCATTATTATATGGCACAACAAAGGAGATATTCCAAATGACACAGGGGATTTGTATTTGGCCTTTGTTTTTGCAATTACCATCATACTTTTAAAAATAAAACTGTATTCCTTATATTAAAATATTATGCTCAATTGTGTTCTGATGTGCTGTATACCTACTGACTTAAATATCTTATCACTCATTCATTCTTTGGCTTAGAATTTCATTCCTTCTGTATGCGTACGTCAGTATGTCTGTCAAAGTCTTCTGTAGCTCCTGATTCCATATCTAACAGTGTTTTTTGTTACAAATTTATAACAAGTGCTTTTTGAGACAACAATAATAGGTAATGGTGACCATAGGTTAAAGTATCGCCAGTTTTAGTTTATTAAACACTGTCAGGAAAACAATATGATGCTGCTCCCCTTTACTTCATGTTTCCCTCTAACATCTGGATTTGGTGGGGTGGGGGTAAGGTTCTTATTCCCTTTTTCTAGGTGGCTCTTCCTGTTAGGAGTCTAACTTAAGCTTGTTATCATTAGATAAGCTTAGAGATAACAAAATCAGCCTTAATTTTTGCTATTTAACTTAATTTTGACATTCTAAGTAATAAGAAAATGAGAAAAGTAATGTCCCATTATATTTCAAAGATGTACATTTATATTTCTAACATATGCCTTGTGTATTTTTTCACTTTATTTAAGTAGTACAGAAATTTTAAAAAAGAACAATTTTTATGGACCATTGAGATTATAACATAGGGTGTCTTAGATGGTTATCTGTCATAACTTTAACACAATCCAGAAAAGAAAATTAGGCTAACTGCTTTGATCGCATCAATTTAGTTCAGGTCCTTGGTGTCATGAAGTTTTTTTCCTAAAGCTCTTAGGAAACTCCTTTTTCTGAAATCTCATAATCTATCCAGGCCACTGCATCCTTTCATATATTTGAAGAATTTTATGGCATCATAGGACAATGTTTTAGTCTATTCTATGAATTTTAAATATGAGAAAACTAAATTTTAAAACACTATACAGTTGACCCTGTGTTACATATCTTCAGATGCAATCTACTGTAGATTAAAATTATATGAAAAAAAGAAATCATCAATACTGAACATGCATAGACTTTTTTTTCCTTAGTCCCAAATAATACAGCATAACCAGTGCATTTTGAGACAACAATAGTAGGTAATAGTGACCATAGGTTAAAGTATTGCCAGTTTTAGTTTCTTAATCTTTGCATTGTATTAAATATTATAATTAACCTAGAGATAATTTCAAGTATTCAAGAGGATGTGTGTACGTAAGTTAAGCAAATACTGCATCATTTTATATATAGGATTTGAGCATCCACAGATTTGGGTATCTACAGGAGGCCCTAGAACCAATCACCCATGGATACTGAGAGAGAACTGTATGTGTTGACCGGAATCTACTTTGTTTCATAGTCCAGATCAAACAGTCCCAGTGTTATTCATTTCACCTATTGTTCCCTTGGATTTTCCTCGTAACATTTCAGTGTTTCATTCATTTTCCTTACTTTTCTTTGTCAATAAATTCTACTTGAAAAAAGAGCTCACAAATTCAATTTTCATCTATAATATCAGAGAAATAGATAAGCTATGTTGGACAATAACTAATTGGTTAAAAATTTTATTAGTTGTTTTTATAACAACAACTTGTAATAAATTTTAGGATCCTGTTTCATCATAAATTATATTTAAAGTGGCACATATTCCAAATCATGGATTTAAGAAAGAACATATTATTTTTCCCATTCGAATTATAATAATGATTTTCCAAATATTTGCATGTGCCAAGTTTTGTTAACACATCTTTCTTTTGCCCAGAAATTTTGTTAGATTTCTAGGGAAAGCATTTACAAAACATTTGTTCAGTTAAAATAACACAAACAGTAAAATTTATTATTAAACACATTTATTGGCAAACACTTACTGACAATCATCCTGGGTTTTCTTTAATGATTTTTAAATATTCTTTCCCCAAGAAATATCAATCACTATTATTATGACATTAATGTAAGTAGGCTCAAATTCTAAAAGTTCAACTTTAAAATTTTATGAAAATGTTGAATTTTTATTATTATACAAACAGTCTCAGGAGGAAAACCTAGAGACAAGTGTAAAATATAAAACCAAAGTGTTTCACATCTTAACATCTTAAACATTTTTCAAAAAAAGATCAGGCAGTAGATAAAGTTAAATGAGAAATATTGAGCAATTTATAATTTATTGAAATATTTATAGAATTTTCAAATTTTCTAAATACTAAGGACAAGTTTGCAAGCATTCAATTTTAGATTTTTCTCTTTGTTTCCTGTGATCCCTTACGTATTAACTGCCTCCCACATAATTCTTAGCATAATCACTGATAAAATTTAGACACAATTTAAAGCTTAAGTATGTCATACTCTTTAAATTTTCCAAAAATGGTTAAAATCGGTTCTATTGTTTGTTTGTTTGTTTGTTTGTTTACTTATTTAGAGACAGAGTTTTTCTATGTTGCCAGGCTGTCCTTAAACTTCTGGATACAAACATTCCCCTTGTCTCACCCTCCTGAGTAGCTAGAACTACAGTTACGCAATCATGCCTGGTTTAGTTCTGTTTTTCTTTTTGTATATATACTCTTGTAATCTAAAAGATTTCCTTTATATTACCTTATTACTAATACAGCTTGAATTTTTAACATATTTGTTGACATTGTGTTCCTGGTGTTATAAATAAAAATAAGAACTGGCTAATAAAAGAAGTATCCTATCAACTAACAAAACTTTATGTGTTTACTTCCCTCCCATTTATTTTAGAAAAAACAGAAAAACATTTTAAGAATAGGAATTCAGAGTCTTGGTTCACCTTTATGGGGAGATGACGTTTGCTGTACGGAAAACTGTAACAACAGTCACAGCCTTACCAAGTTCCTCTATGTTCTCCGAGGTCTTCTAAGAACCTCTCTGTCAGCCTGTATCATCACAATGCCAACACATCTTATCCAGGTAAGACTTTTAAAATTATCCTCCCTAACTAGTGGAGAAATGGTATGATGTTGTGGTCTTAATTTCCATTTCCTTGACTAGGAATAATGTTGTGTGCTTTTTTGCCACCTGAATAGCTTTTTTGGTCAAGTTTTTTGTCCATTTTTAGTTGAGTAATCACCTCATTATCAAGATGTATAATTCCTGATACATTTTAGCTACAGTTTGCAATGGCTGTGATAAAAGTTTAAAGTCTTAATGAGGTTTAACTTACTAGTTTTTTAAATAGTTATGGTTTCTCTCTCACCTGCTCAATCTTACCAATCTTGGTCTTCTACAAGATCTTTTTTTATGTTTTCTTCTAAATGTTTCATAGTTTGATCTTATACTAATGGATCAATGTATTCCTGTTTGAGTTTTTTATACAATTTTTGTTCATGTTCTCAAACACTTTTTGGTTTCCTTAGTTAATTCTACTTTTATGTTAACGTACTTCACATGTACTCATTCTTTTTTTATTAGTAGTACTATTTACTAAACTTCTGTTTGCCTCAAATATGTAATTTTATATAATCCCAAATATCTACTACACTGTAGTTTTGTTAAGGCACGGTCAGATGTTTATACTTTTCTTCATATGACTTTCTGATAATAATGTAACATTTAGTCATACAGAACATTTTAATATTATAACTGAAAAATTTGACATAAAGAGTTACTTTTGACTCCTTGGACAGTAGAATTTATTTCTAATAGTCATGAGAGGATAACTAATTCAGTGTTATCCTTTATGGACTTTGTACAGATTATCCTGAACCTACATTGTTACTATGATCTTAAAACTAACGTATGTGTGTGTATGAAATTTCTTTTTCTAATTCTATTAGACATTATACCCATACTTTCATTATGTTCCTTGTTAAAAAGGAACATAAAGTTAATACTTTATGTATTATGAAGTTAATACTTTACTAATAATTTGGTTAGACATAACAAGCTTCTCGATTTTGATAATAAATTAAACCTAAAACAGATTCATCAGATACTGGTGAAAATACTGCTATATTCCTACTACTACCAATTGTGCTATTACTATGAGTATACAGACCAAGCACTTCACAAGCATTATGTCCTTGAATCTTTACCATAAACCTATGTTCTGTGTACCCTATAGGTAGTTTTTAACCTCTGTTCTCCCAAGGTCACCTAGTTGGTAAATGAGGCTGCCAATGTCTTTCCCTGACTCCACACCCCAACATCTTCACAAATAAATCACATACCATCTCAAATCATCACAACAATCCTCAGAAATAGCTGTGGTGTCAATTACAAAGAAGATTAAACTGAGGTTAATTGATTCTCCAGTATCACATGTCTGTTATGCATGGAAAGATGGTATTCAAACTCAAATCTTCTTAATTCTAAAACTTAAATTTCTCTCCCCTCTGTCACATTACATTCTATTGTCTTGAATTATTAACTACCTTTGATGATGTAGCATTCCATTAGGAAGAAAAGTTATTGTTCTACATTGCTATTATTCAGCATTTTTAACAAGAAAACTATCATTGTAAAATCTTTGGCAAATTAGATTATGTGAAAGATTAAGGTGAAAATTTATTCCATTCCAGGCAAGAGAAGACAAAAAATGAGTATATGTTTCCTTTTACACAATTGCAAAGAAAAATGATTCTGAAATGAATATATAAATGATTATGAAATGAATATATGTATATATGTAACTTTTCAAACTTATTACAAAGAAACTCCTGGGAGGGAGAGAGAAAAGGAAGAGGAAACACTTTTAAAAAGCTATTTCTTTGGTAATTATTACTTAGAGAAAAGAGGTTCCTGTCCAATTAAGAATGTCTATGACAATGATTTCTTTGCCATTGCTTAAGGGAAACAGTGATTCTATCAGGTGATGTCAAGTCAGCCCATCTTCATCACAGATCAAGTAATGATTACATGATAAGGTAAACTGAATGTCTAAACATAAAAAAGATAACAATTTTGATATTTTACAGCTATATTTAAATCCTTGGGTAGCTAGAAGCAATTTTTTTTAATTTTTGCTTTTCAATGTACCAATAAAGAGACTACTTTGAGATGGAAGTAACATAACCTAAGGTTAGATTTTGGTGATAAGTTTAATATTATACATAGTGACCAAGAATTAAGACATGTTCTCCAAAATAGAAAGTGCCTTTAAATAACAACAACAACAAAAATAACCTGTACAACCTTCTAATATTTCCACATTTTTCATTCTATTTTCCCTGCATAATTTTGCAAAGCTATCATGTAGTCTCCTGACCCTAATATCACTTGATAGCTGGTGTAGTGGTTGCAGACACCTATAATTCCAGCTAATCAAGAGTCTGAGGCAGGAGGATCCCAAACTCAAGGTAGTCTGGGAAGCATAGTAAAATCCTGTCTCAAAATAAAAACTTAAAAATGGGCTGTAATGTAGATGAGTGGTAGTGTGCTTGCCTAGCATGCATGAAGACCTGCATTCAATCTCTAGTATCATGATCAATCACTCAGTCTCTTCCTCTTTAAATATGAGTCTCTAACCATGTATTTGTTTCTATATCTAAATATTTAGGAGAAAACCAGTCATCATATAAGTAGGGGATAAAGCTCTTTATAACTTTTAAAGACTAGCAAGGAAAACAGTCTAAGAAAAGATTAAGAACTGGAAACAGTATGACTAGAAATCTAATCAAAGATATATCAAACTTACAGGTAGTTAGTATTCTCATTATCTTTACCCAGGCTCACATAGCTAGTAAAGGACAGAATTTAGACCTAAGCATTTTCTTCCTGCCCCTAGTTACTGAACTTTTAACTAGCATGTTATGCTGCTTATTCAATAGAGGTCTAAAATTAAGAAAAATACTAGGTATAAAGTAGTATTCATTGATAGGAAGAGCCAGTACTTTTGGAGGCAGAGAGCTTTTATAAGTTATTTGATCTTAGTCAAATGTTAACTTTTTTTCAGCCTCAACTTCTTCCTCTGTAAAATTTAGGCAAAATATAAAAGTCAAAAGATTAGCAATATCAGGAACTGAGACACTGCTGGCACATAGTAGGCATTCAGTTTATGTTATCTTCACTATATGTTATTTAAACAGACCTCCAAAACTGAGAATTTGAACAGAGATCAGTCTACAATGATAAGATGTAAAGTCTGTCAGTGCAACCAAGGGACTAGCTCATGTGATCAGCATTCACAAGGCCAAGGGTTCAATCCCCAATATAAAAAAAAAAATAGAAATCTTTAGTTTCCTAATTCTTTTTATGAGAAACACTGGCAGCTTCTCATAGATTAGGCCTGAGACAGACCCCAAGGCATAGATAAAGTTAGATATCTATCCATCCAGATGTATTATCGCCAGGTTGTAACAAAACTCTTTTAACATCATATGTAAATTTCCTTTCCACTATTACCATTGCCATCTCTAGAGACTAAATTGAAGTTTCAATTGTGATTGAAATGACTAAAGGTAATTTAGCTTAGTCATTTATTCAATGAAGATAGCAAGCACTATTCTAGGCACCCATGGGAATGTAGTATTGAATATGACAAAGTTCCTATTCCCATGGGGCTTTTTTAGCAATGTAAAAGGATGGAAAATAATATATGTAGGTATTTGGATGCTTGGACTTGGATGTTGATAGTAAAATAGTTTCTGGCAGGAATTAGAAATGTAGTTTGATATCCTTGGAAATTTTGTCATATAATTAAGCATCTATAAATAAAGTAACACTAGATTAAAAATACATAAAGTATCTTCATCTCTTAGAGTGCTAAACCAACCAATCAGTGTTCTTATTTTAGTTATTAGCATTCTGTCAGACTTGTACAGTAATGATTAGTTACCCTTTATTGTACTTTTGGCATGCTTCCCATGTTTAATTTCATTGTAGGCAAGGAACACATAGTTAGGGAAATTGCAAAGAGGGGGAAAAGTTAAAATAGGGAAAATAATGACGTAGACTCAAAACTGATTTTAACTTATTGTCATAATAAGACTTGCAAGTAGAATTAACAAAGCATGATTTTTAACTTTGCATTTGAAATATTTTGTTTGGCCTCACAATTAAGCTTGAATTTTTTTTATTTCCTTTGAGTTAAAGATTTTTTCCATAATAACACAGAGTAAAATGACAAGCATACTTTGAAGCACATGTATAAAAATAAACTCCAAACATTTGTTAAGAAAACACTAAAATTATTTGGCAAATATCCTATGAATGACTTAAATCATGTTTATATAGTCTTGAACAATTTTCCCTGTGAAGTAACATTATTCTCATATAATCTCTTATTAGAATATAGTTTTAGTGTCTGCCCAAAGACATTGTACTAAAATGAATGTGAAAATGGCTAAGTTAAAAACAGACTTTGTTACATGCTGAACTGTGGAGTAAAGTGTCATTAGAAGGAGCAAAACTACGGGTGGCGTCCCTATATTCCAGCATTACTCAGTTCCCAGATCCCTGCTGTGTAGTTGTGCCACTCGCCAAGAAGCCTGTTAAAGAGCCCCCAAGAGCATGTGTACAGCCCTCCATGTTAATAGTTAATTGGTGAGGATGGCAAGATGAGAGGACAGCCGAACATGTGGTCTCTCAGACTCAAGCCATAGACAGACCTTTAGTTATAATAACAGCAGCTGCTCACATTCTCACAACTCAACTGTTCAAACTCTGTTGTCAAGTGAAGGTTGTCGTGGATTGAAAAAATTAAAAAAGGAAAGGTGCATCTAAGAAAAATAACCAAAACCCTCTCTTCAAACTCTTCCTACATAGTAGTTTAATTATATTATTTCAACTTTTAAATACTTAAAGTATAAATTTTTGTATTAAAGGTTGTTATATTTCAGCTACATTGAACATTCTACTGCCTTTTTCCCTGTTTACTATTAGAAATGTCTTCCTTGTTTGAAACTTTTAAATGAGGTTTGGTTTGGTTTGGTTTGGTTTGGTTTTGAAAAGTGGTAACTTTAAAGTAGGTA